GCAGTAGGGGTTCGGTTAGGGCCAACCTGTATGGAGAGAAGTTGGACTGGGTGTTAAGGATGGGCCTGGGATGGTCGGGGTCCCGACCAAGCCATGCCTGTGAGATGAAATTCCCAACTCCCCCTATGCAGGCTGGTTCACCAGCTCTTGTTCCCCTGTTGTGCAATCCAGTATTGTCATGTTTGGTGTTAGAGTTATTGTCCTCAGGTGGGTATGCTAATGTGTTGTCCCTCCTGCCCCCTGATGTTATGTTTCCCACCAAATTTGTGTCCTCACGCAGGGAGGGACTGCACTGGGAAATCAGTTTTTTGATTGTCCCCCTGAGTTGGAGGCATCTTGCCCTTGCTGCTGGTTTTTAAAACGCAAGAAGTCCTCTTTGAGGGGGCAGTGAGATGCCCAGTGTCCTTTCTTGTTGCACAGGTTGCAGGGCTGTCCTGGATGGTAACCTTTGGGTGGTGGCCCAGTGAAGGCGGCGTGCAGGAGCCGGAGCCGTGGATGGCGTGTGGGCTTCGGCAAAGGAGACCCTCTGTGATGGCGTTTGGGGTGTCCCCTGAGGGTCCTTTGAAGGCAGGGTGACCCTTCGAGCGCACACGTCCAGCATGTCCTGGAACCTGTCGAGGGGCAGGCTCATCATCGCCTGTCGGCAGGCCTCGTTGGCATTCTGCAGGGCGATCTGCTTCACCATGCCCTGCCTCAATCCGTCCTCTGGCACCTGCGATTCAGCTGCCCTGTACAACCTGTCTATGAAACTAACGAAAGACTCCTGTGTCTCCTGCTTATTAGAAAAACAGTTAACGACAGGACCACGGGGTTTTAACTTAAAAAATGCTTTTTCAGCCACGTTGGCAGTTGCTGCCAATGCCCCCCTTGGAATCTTTTCAGCCTGTGTTGTTGCCACGTCCCAATCCCCCATCCCGCACAGGTGGTCAATGGTTAACATGCCTCCATTGGTGTCAGAGGAGGTCTCGGCTTTTGCCCAAAGTTGCGGTAATGCATCCCGTACCTCCCGCCTCCATGCGGATTCCCATACCAAAAACTCAGCTTGAGTAAGCAAGCACAAAAACAGAGCGCGCATGTCAGCAGGGACATACTTGTTGGAGGAAAGTGTGACCTTTAAAAGTCCCCGAAAGTATGCACTTTCCCGACCAAAGTCTTTTTGGGCTTTGCAAACATCTCTAATTACAGCCTGTGGGATAGGGGCCCACTGTGCCAGGGGTCTGCCCCTCTGCCGTGGGGTGTAGGTGACTGGTGCGGCAGAAAAGGCAAGCAGGGGTTGCGGCAGGTCGCGGCTTCCCCCCTCCCCCCCTCCCTCCTCCTCCCCCCCCCTTCCCCGGGAACCGAGGCGTGGGAAGCAGAGGGCGGGTCGCGGGAACCGAGGGCGGAGGCAGGACCAGGGCTAGGGGGTGTGGCTGGTGTTACCTCACCCCTAGGGGCGGGGTCGGAGGGAGGACTGCTGAATGATTCATTAGGGGAGGTGCCAGAAGGGGGTGGAGGGGAGGGGTGGGTGGAGAAGTCTCGGGAGTGGGAGGGGTTGGCTGTAGGGCGAAGGGGGTCATTAGGAGACAAAGCACAGAGGGAGGGGGATGGGCATGCCATGCGGTCCCCTCCATCTTGTGCCCTGGGGCAGGGAAAGGAGTCATTTTGGGAAAGGTCCGGGGAAAGTCCTGGGGAAGGATCTGGGGTTTTAAAACTCACAACTTTACAAAGAGAGGAGGTTTGGGGAGGGGAAGGGTGCAGGGCGATGCCAGCATTGTCCTGCGATGGAACCTGGGGGTTGACAGAGAGGCCAGAATCTGCCTGCGGCTGGTTTTGCCAGGATGCCTGTCTGAGAATCCCCGGGCTAGGGAGAGAGGGGTAGGAGAGGGTTTCTGGGGGATTTGGGGGGCTTGGGAGGCAGCGTTCGCCCTGCGGTGGCTCTGGCTTCCCTTTGCAGTTATCTTTGACAATATTTTTCAATTGGATTGCCAGGTGGATGAAAATTGAGATGGATTGATCCTCTTTTTGGCCAATTTCTTTTTCAGAATTGAACTTGGTACAAATTTGCCTGTGAGACATTCTGGAAAGACTGCAGAAGCCACCGTGCAAAATGCTTAACGTCTGACTTTTTACATCTCTTTCCTCCCCCAACTAAAATTCCTAGGATTTGAATGTAAATTCTCTTCTGTGACACTGGACAATTTTGCACCCATTATGTCGATGTTAAAGTGTGTCACGAACCTCGCGGCTGGTAAAATAACAAAAGAAAAAAAAATACCTCTATCGGAAAGCTAGGTAGCCTGCCCTTACACACTCCCTGCAGCGGGAGACAAAATGTGGGCTCTTATCGCCCCCTTGTGGGAGAAAGAGAAACTCACCCCAAAGGGAGCAAGGTGTACCCAGCCCAGGGGGACCCCGGTAACTCACCACGGGTCCGGCGATGTCCGAAGGCGAAACGAAAAGTCCAGCTGCGAAGTTTTCGCTGTGGGGAGCCGAGCTTTGGCGGTGCGAGCCAAAGGTTCCGGCCCCACCCCTCTGGAAGCCCTGGCTCCTTAAAACGGAACCGTGGCTTGCGAGGGTGTTGTAACGTCCACAAGGTAAATCCACAAGCTTCTCGGGGCTCGGTGGTCCTCAATCCGTGTGCCTGGACCTCCCAAGCAACGCGTTTGGGCGCCACAACTGCCTTAGCGCTCTCTTGTCCCCCCTTTTGTCCCAGCTAGCTCCGTGGGGCAGGGGGGAGCGCTGGAAACTTCCGTGTTTTCCGGCGAACCCTCGCGGGTGTCGGCCGGTGCTGCGTGGGTCTGGGAGCGAGGCGAGTCCCAAGGCGAATAAAAGGAGAGAGACTTTTTCCCCCGCAGGCAAAATCTCGGTTTATTGCGGCTTGGTTGGGAAGGCAAAAACCGAAAAGGCTGCAGCGTGCTGAGTTAGAGTTTGTCCGTGCCGCCTTGCCGGTCCGGGGGCGGGGCAGCGCGCTCCGAAGCTGGCCGCGAGCCAAGAGAGGCGGTGCGCAGAGCCGCGGCCCTGTGGCCGGCTCGCGCGGGAGCCGCAGCGACAGCGGCAGCGGCGGCGGCGGCGGTTTAGCTGTGGCAGCGATCGCGGGGGGACAGTGGGGTGCAGGGGTCCAATGGGAGACGGACAGATGGAAGGGTGCCAGGTTGTCTCCTGACCCCGCCTCGTGACTGACAGATGGTCTGAGGGATGTAAACACAGTGACTTGGCACTTTCTCGGGAAGGCAAACCATGGGGGGAGATGGGAGAACCCGGGGGGTTGCTACAGATCACAAGGGGATACATGGAATGACCTTATACATAATAGAACATATAATAACACAATTCCATAACTTCCCTCCAGATGCGCAAAGCAGCATTCATGATCCTTCATCTCATGGAAGAAAGTACATAATCTCTTTGATCAGAAAGACTGGGCACTGTTCTGAAAAAACAATCTACTGGGATCTTTGCCACCTTTATTCTGGTGACACCAGTCTGAATCCTTTTCCTCAGGTCCAAAAGCAAAAGCGATTTGATTAATTCTTCTGTGAAGGCATTAAGACTTTCTGCAGCTGTGGGAATGAGGAATATCAGTCTATGTGTATGGGAAGTCTGTGATACAGCTGATGTGTTTACAGTTCAAACCCAAACTACCCCTCTGACTTACCTCTTGTGGACTCAGGCCTTTGTGTCTTTATAAAAGCAATATCTAGACCAAGCTTGAAGAGATGGTAATCTAGTTGCTCTTGCCATCTTTCACTGTCAGATTTATCATTATTTATTAAATAAAAAACAATAAACATGACTAATTGGATTAAAGTAGAGCTACTGTTCCTTCTTGGTGTGTACCTTTAAATTTTGTACCGAAATTTTTTCGGATCAAAATCAGTAAGAAATTACACTATTTCCACCACTATTTCCAGTATTTCAGCTGATAGCAGCAGGACTACAAACAAAATAAAAAAAAAATTCATAATTTCTGCCTGATTATGTTTTGTGGTTCAATTACTAAGTACTGTCATGTTTAGATTGACTCTAATGTAATTTCTGTACCATGCTTATTATCAGAAGTATTGTAAACATAGCCTTCTTTCTCACATGACTTCTTGCACTGTGTAGGTCTTTCAGGCTGGAAATTACAGTATTACAAATTGTCTAGGAGTTCATATTTATTAAACAAGGCAATAAAAAACCAAATATGCAATTTTCTGACAATGCTGTCACACTGCAAATCACAGAGGAGCTTCTTAGCAGCAAAAAACCCAGGTAGTAAAGAATAACAGAAAATAACTAATATGATGAGAAAGCATAATGAAAGCAAAGGCAATGGTATAGTTATCAAAACCATGATGAGAAGGCTACTATAAGACAAATGAAAACAAACTGTCAAAAAATAAAATAGCTTTTACAGAAGCCCTGTTCAATGTTCTTAGACATACATAATAAATAGTGTATTTAATTTTTTTTTTTGAAAATGTTTCAGCTGCAAATTAAGTTCTCTGAATGCATTGTGTATTCATTAAGGCTTGGACTTATTCTAAAACTAAAAGTAGTTCTAAGAGTGTGAGAAAGAAAGTATATCTGTTGAAACTGCTGGCAGGTGCCAGATGATAGATGCAGATGATCTGTGAACTCCAAAGGGCTAATGGGGTATCTGGAGTGCCCCATCTGGGCACACAATGCTTCCACAGCCATCCCTGGTCTGGCAACAAAAACCAGCACCACTTCTTGGTGTAAAAAGAAAGAGAAAAGTCTATAGTCCTGTAAATGTTATTTATCCCCCAAAACATGTACCCCAGAATATTTTGAACTGTCCCTGCTGCAATTCCCTGGGTGCTTTGTACATCAGCTTTCCAGACTTGACAAGTGGGCTCAGGACACATAGATATATCCTCCTTTTTATGGTAGCTCATTCTTCTATTACAAGCCTTTAATGCACCTTCAGACTATAAAATAGTGTCATACAGAAATAAAAGCAGTAAAAAAGAGGCAGGTTGCAAAATCACTATTGATGTTTCATTATTTGCAGAACCTTTTATTAAATCTTCCATTTTGTTGCAATTTACAGGCAACTCTAAACCTGAATTTCAGGAGACATTTGCTTGAGGAAGCTATTACATTAATAACTGCACATGACATGCATGGCAAACTATAATGTCTTACAGACATGTGAGTAAAACAGTGGATTTTTAGTATCTGAGAGAGTACAAGTTATAAACATAGTGCAGTAAAAATGCCTTCTCTTTTTCTTACTGTCTGATTTTCAATTTATCTTCTTCCCACACTATCCTAGCACTTGGTGTATTCCTCCTTAAGCCATCAATCCTAAGATGCACAAGGTCTGGATATTTCACTCAGAAGTTCTCATGCAGCTGCACAAATAAAGAGAAATACGGAAGACTAATGAGAAAACAAATCTGGTCTTCACTGTCATACACTACAGCAACCAAGAGCTTGCTCAAGACATTACTCTAGAGAAAGCAGTAAGTAAACCTAGCAAGAAGTACTATTGGGATAACAATTAAGATGTACTTTGTACTTTTTTCTAAAGAGAAATGTTGGTTTGGGGCACATATCCTTTTTTTTTTCCTATGAATCATAATCTTTAATCACAATAACCTTGCAGACAGCCAGTATAAGCTATATAACTTACTGAAAATATTCAATATTGATTTTCTCATTTGTCTTTTTCCCATGGCAGAAAATTAATGTGGAGCTTGTCCTTACTGTAATATTTTCTTTTTCATTTATAGAAATATGAAACACTATTTTGAAAACAGTGCTTCATATTTATCTGTAACCATCCTGGACTGTGCTCTCATGCAAGCATATGTTATTCGTTATGGCACTTAGGGACATGATTTAGTGCTGGACCTGGCAGTGGTGGGTTAATGGTTGGACTTGGTGACCTTAGAGGTTGTTTCCAACCTAAAGGGTTCTATACCTCTATCTGGAAGTCCCTAGGAAAAGGTTTAGGTGACATGGTGTGAGTCATGGTAAAGAATATGTGCACATACATTCCCTTCCCAGAAGTACTATAGCTTACTTGCATAAAGGAGTTCAGGCAAAGAAAGTGTGAAAGTCCATCATTTAAGCTTATCTTAGGTTGGAAATGCAAGATGAGGTTGGGGTTGTTTATTCTATTGCCATCTGTTAGAGGTGGGGCAGTTATCTTCTGTTAACTGGGCCACCTGTTAAAACCAGGTGGGCAGTTTTCTTTATCTCTTCCACAACCAACCCTCCCTCTGAGGAGATATCTTCTGTTAATGGGCCACTGTGTCTCGCTGCATGACTGATAAAATTACATCATCCCATTGGGAGATGTTCTGTCCAGGAGGACGAGCCAAGCATTCCTACCTGGAATTCCTACTGGATTCCCAGAAGAGTAGCTTTCTTTTCCACTGGATTCCCAGAGGGGGACCAGGCCCATCTATACCACCACTAGACCTTCAGAGGCAAATTACACCCTTCTACAGTATCACTGCTTCAAGAGAACCACATCTGTCACTGCAGGCGGAGCATCCACCATTAATGGTACTGCTACCAGCACCCTGACTCACGGGGTGTCAGGTCATTCTCTGACTCTTGACAGTGTTGTTTTATGTTACTGCATTTTTATTTTCTTTTTGTTTTTTTTTCCCTAGTAAATAACTATTACTCCTATTATTCCTACTCTTATATCTTAGCCTGAGAACCCCTTAAAATTATAATAATTCAGAGGAAGAGGGTTTACATTTTCTATTTCAAGGAAGACTCCTGCCTTCCTTAGCAGACACCTGTTTTTCAAACAAAGACAAAGCTGCACTATGCATTGTTCCCTCTCTGACTGCAGAGGTCTGGACAGATACAGAGATGACATCCAGCTAGCTATCCAGTGGTTATTGGCCTAGACTGAGAAGGTTCAACTCAGCTACCACAGAAGTACCATGAGATTTAACCCCCTGAGGAGATTTTAAGGACATATTGAAAAAACACAACAAAGCAGTTTCCCATATTACCCATTTGAGACGGTTTGCTTTTCAGCACACAGTACTTATCAAGACTGGTACAATTGACTATGCCTGCCTGTTGTGTGAGATGGTTTTTACCAGAATCCTCAAGTCCCTTCAACATGTATTATGAATGCTGATTATCTGAGCTTATGCCTTTCTTCACTTGAGATAATTTTGACCTGTCAGCTGTAATGTTTCTGGTTTTCTGCTCTTTCTTGATTTTAAATACTACTCAACAGGTGAGTTCAAATAAGAAAGTTCCAAAAACCACGATGGAGTCATAATGAAGTTTCTCCCTGACACAGCCCTGCACACTCAGACATTAACAGGGATTGTAAATGGTCTGTACACAAATTCAACTATGCTGCTAGTTTGCAAAGACTAGAATAAAATTCCTCCTTTTTGCTGTCTCTTCAATCTGTGTGCTAAAGAAAATGTTAGGTAAAATTTGGCAGTCATCCAGCCATTACCCAGGCCTTTTTTTTTTTTTTTTTTCTTAAACATAGGGCAGCATGAAGATAATATGATGCACCTGAAGAGGAGCATCATACATCTTCATTTCAGCTACGTAAATTCATTTGTTGTGTTAGACTTGCACTCAAAAAAACCCAAAAGTGCACATGTGGATGCACTTCTGCTCATTAGCATCATAAAAGCTCACAATTCAGCAATGCTAGTCATGATTAAAGTAATCTGAAGTACCACAACCTGTTGATTATGCTATGACACACAGGTATAGTGCCATACTCCTTACTCCATAATGCTACCATTTTAAATTGTATTTTCTTCAACTTAGTTGGAAAAAAAACAAGAAATGCAGGTCAATGTGGAACATGAAAAGGCCTCTGATCTCCTCAGGGGTGAAAAGACAAAGAGAAAAAAAATTAAAAATAACCTTTTTTTTCTCAGAAGCTTTCAAGAAAAACAAAAGCTGCAGCTCTATTTTACAAAACACACTTAAACAACCTAACACTGAATTATTCATGCCTGTTCTAAAATACAAGCTTTATAACCCAGAATTAATTGGCTTAAGGGTGAGTATATATTTTCTCATTGTAAATACTTTGTCAATTGAAGTACAAACATGTTCAGCATTAAAAAAAAAAGATGTTATCACAAAGAGTGTCATAAGCTAAAGAATATTATCACCTTCCTTTTCCTAGTGACTTTGGACAAAGTTTTACTTTTGAAGCTGACAGACTGACTGGATTTTCACTGGTTTGAAAACTCAGACCTGAGTTTTTTCCAGTGACCAGATTCTTTTGAGGAGGGAGTTCAGTGATTCTGCCAGCATGCAGACATAACCTAAATTTCCATTTTCCTTATCAAACTCCCTCTGCTAGGATTTTTCTGCAGTTAATAATAATTTTGTAAGATTTTAAGATTGGACTTTTCTGTTGGAGTCCTATTTCTACCCAATCACCTGATCATCTGTGAGGTAGCTCTTCTTGGAATGTTCCTGAAATCAGTGTCACTCCTGGAAATACAGAATCCAAAGCAGCTTGCCTGTTGCGTGGTGTGATATAAGAGAATCACAAAAACCCAAAGTGAAAAAGAGACTGGGGCTTTTCTGAAAAAAAAAAAAAAAAAAAAAAAAGCAAACCCTTTTGCAGTATGGAAATAAATTTTTTGCAATGAAGCTTTTTTTTTTTTTTTACTGTCTTCTTGATTAGGTACAAAAGCCAGGGAATCTCAGAAAAACAGGAAGCTGGACAGGAGAAACACAGGTCTGAACCAATATGGTTAATCAAACATTCTCCCTTTATTAGAGATAAAATGGTAGTTTATATAAGCTTCTACATAATTTACAGAAACAAAGGCACTCTGATTGGCAAGCTAACATTGTTTACCTTTTCCTTAAGGTGGCCAAACTTTTCACACTGCAGCTCTACTCTAATTCATGCTCGGATAGCTCATTACTTTGTAGTTACCTTAACATAATTTCTGACTGTGCCACAACTGAATTCTCACTGCATCAAAGGCTTCAAGGCCCCATCAAGGCCGCTTATCAGGGCCTAGTCTGACTGGGTAGCTCAGGTCTCACTCCAGACATAAATCATGCTCTCTGTCACTCAAAAATTCTGTAACAAAGTACAAAATATTTTTTTTTTCTGTTGATGCCTAAATATCAAGTGCACTTGGAAACCTGTGCAATTGGTTTCAGAGAGTAGGTGCTATATTTCAAATCAAGGCCTATTGTCCAATGCTGCCTACTAATGAAGGAAAGTATTTCTCATAAGAAATACCATCTGCACCCTGTTTCCTTTAACTGGGCTTTTGAGAGTTACTCACAAAATAAAATTTCATCTCTTCACAGAATTCATGGTGTCATTTAGCTAATGGACTCAACCCTCAGCACTTTGTTGTGGGTGGTGAGAGGAGAAAGGTGACTATTAATTTCCTCTGATCCCATGGCTGTCATTTAAACTTTAGGGTCCTGCTGGCACCAGCAATCAGATCAGGCAATCATCCATGGGACCACACATTTGGCTCTGGTCTTATCCTGAGCAGAGGGGAGGGAAAGAAACAACTGAGAGAGAGAGGCCTCTGAGGGCCACTGAAGTATTTTTTTGCTAGATAGGAACCTTTAGCTGTTCCATTAGCTCTGGTTAAGACAGGGACTCTGTACATGGGTATGTTTGGTAGGCATGTGTTCGGGCTCTGCTCTGTTGTTTAAAATGGGAATTTCAGTTGCAAAGGAGAAAGTTTGGGGGTGGCTGCTGCACTCTCCCATCCTAAGGGGCCATGAAGACACAGGTCTCCTTGTTCTTGTCCCTTTCCTCTTATCAATCCCCCAGAGCAGGCTCTGTGGCTAAATGTTTGCCTTTCTGTGTCTAAAATAACTGTAGGTCCAGTCTTGGGTGTTGTTCCAGATTTTCAGCATTTCCCATGGCTGAAACCTATGGCTCCAAACCTATGGAAACCTATGGATCCTGACAGCTCCTCAGCCAGCCACATCCTTTGCTGGCATCACACCATGCCATTTTTACTACCCTTTCATTTTCAAAACCATTTCTTGTTCTTCCAATAGCTCCAATCCAAGTCGTGGACATTCAGGTCAGGTTTGGGCAAGGTTAATGAAGATGTTAGGGTGTGATTTTAGGGTATGAAGTTCAACTGACTCTGTTGGGAAGCTCATGCCGATTTTACGATCTCACCATGGATGTCTACCTGGAAAGCCTTTGGAGGGGTGGAAGCTGAGGTCAGACAAGCATTTGTGAAATTTGGAAACCATAGCTTTAAGGTAGTTTATAGTGATTTCTAGTCTTAATTTGGTGATGTGCTGATTCTTTTCTTCCTTATGTGGATAGGGCAAAACACTTTTCACATGATCTTGTAGTTCACTGGCAGTTTAGTTCACCTGGCAAGCGTCATGATTATCAAAACACCAAGAAGCTGGGAATTCAGAGGAATGTGATCTTCCTCACAGGGATGGGAAAGACATGACCTTCTCTTATTTTCTGTCACTTTTTTGCATTTGGGATTTTTGTTTTTTGAGCTGTGACATACCATAGCTTACATGGGAGGTAGCATGGCACTGACGAGAAGTAAGAGTGACAAATGGCTTTCCTTTTATTTGGAGGTGTGAAATATGGTGGGGGACGTTGCAAACCTTATTAAAGCTCTTATTATTGTACTACCTAATGACTGGTATGTATATATAAAATATTATTTCATTTTACAGAGACATTCAAATGTTCAAGAGCAGCTGATGGGGTTGGACATGCTAATTCCCCTGTCTCCAAAGGTAGCTAATTCCCCTGTCTCCAAAACTCAGATTGCTGCAAACATTTTCAGAAGTTTTACTGCTAAACCCTAGTGTTTTTTGAAAATATCAGCTATTTTTTTGCCAGTTAGGTATTGTGGCTCCTGGACTTCAAAACTAGAGCTTTCATTACTCAGAAAAAGTACTAGCAATTAACTTAAAAGATGTTTTTCTTCTGGTAAAAGAAACCCACACTAGATGTGACAGTCAGGTGGACAAAAAAACATGTAAACTCAGGTACAGGAAAAAATAAAATTAGAGATCCAAGAGGAAGAAAAAATATGCAGTAGAGTTCACAGTGTTCATTGAGGTTGGAAAGTTATAGCAATGCATCAGAACTGCACACACACGGCAGAGTCAAGGCACTGAGGATAAACACCACTGGGATGTACTTCAGTTATCAGGTGCTGTAATCACAAGCTTGATCTCAATGTTTTGAAAGAGTGCTATGGATGGGTTGTTCCCCATATAAAAATATTTTTTATTTATAAAAATAAACATTTTCTTTCTCCATTTTTTACAGATAAAAAAAGCTATAGCTTAAGATATGTTATTCCCAACTAAGATTTTTCATATAGTACATGTCTAAATTATCCTACATGTAAAAGCTATGGTTGTGCATAAGGAATGACAGAGGAAGCCATCATGCTCACACATAATAATATAGCATTATTTTATTTCTGCTTTCATGTGTCTTCTAAACACCATAAAACACAACCAGTGACTAATGTGGCAGGCAAGACAGGGAAATAACAAAGAAGACCTAAAAGAACAGAATTTTCTTTTTCTCGATGTCAATGCCATTCACCCAGAAGGGGGAGATCTCAGCCTGCATGCTGCAGCAGCCAGCACCTAGACAGTATTTCAGCTCCAGCTCAGAATTTGTCTGACAGGGAGATTTCAACACAAACCATGCAATTTGGTGCTGGAGCACACTGGACTTCATCTGCTTAAAAAGATGTGCACATACAGTAATCACACTTCATAATTCAATAAACTGCTAAAAAATTGCACACGTTTTCATTTTAGCAGCTTAGGTCCTGCAACTAAACTCACAATGCTACAAATATATTTGAATTTTTCACTAATATGTCATGAGCACTGCACCTATTGCAAATTAATGAGTCTCTGAATAGCACTGTACATATGTCATTTGAATTTATGCTAATGCACTGAAATCTCCTGATGATGTTGATAGTCCACAGCAGCTGCTCAAACTATAGAATATACATGCATAGTCCTTCAGGTTTTATTCATATTTCCTTGGATTTTTATGATCTATTATTTGGACTGCCGTTCTGCAGCTGGTTATTGACAGGGCTGCTAATTCTCTTTGAGTTTGCACTGCAGGATTGACCTGAGCAGAAGTAATAGACTAGTGTTGAGAGGATTATGTACCTCACACAGCAACAACCTCACACCAGTGGGTCAAAAGGTGTTCATTGTGGACCAATGGTATTTACAAACAGTTGGCATGGTAAATGGTAACTGTTCTCCCCCACCCCCCAATGAATTACACCAAGTCTAATTTATTTCAGTAAGTCAGTCTGAGGCTCCTACAAATGATATGTCACTGTAGATGGTATCTATGTAGATGGTTCTCTTCCTAGAGAGAAGTAAAGGCCTGTCATGCACCCTTCCCACCCAGAAGAGAGTATGCAATAGGCATCATATGGGAGTGACTGCAAAATGCTGGCCAAAGGCAAGACAACAACCTTTCCATCCAGAGTTCAGGCAGTGGCATTGTATAATGAAGAACAGCATCAAACTGAATCCATCTGGGATCCTGACAAAGAAACAAAGAAATGAACTACTAGGGAAACTAGTAATAAAAGTTTCAAAACATTTATCTGTGAGCTGTTTTGTCTAGGAAGTTTGAATATTCCAGAGTAGACTGCAGTCTTTACCAACTTTAGCTTTAAACATGACAATTATAGAGCTGCTAATATACCCAGGAAACAATTATTTGAGCTGCCTAATCATTTTCAAATGACTCAGAAAAAATCAAGCACAAAGAAATAAGTAGCACAGATACAGAAAGTACAGCTTGTTAAGAATCATTCCACTTTTTTTTTATTCTCTTCCAGGTTTCACAGGGACAGGGAGGCTTAGCAGTTTAATTTTAAAACATCTGGGAGCAGTGATGCTGTACAATATAGTGTGGCCTTTTGTTTGCAGCAGGTTGTTTTAGAGGGAATGAAGCTGTCACATGAGGGAACTTGACTGAATTAGCTGACAAATGTCAAAATTAGACAGATGCATTCTGATGACTTGTAAACACTGTCAGGAAAGGGTTTAAAAATTTAACCAGTTCATCTCTACTGTCTCAGAGAAGCCCTGGAGCTGAACAATGGCATATGCGAAGGGAAAAGAGAGCAGACTGACTCCACAGTCTCAAAGTACCTCTGAGCAGAACTCTCAGGAGTTCTACTTAACATGTATATGTGTGTGTGCATGTGCGTGTGTGTGTGTGTGTGTGTGTGTGTGTGTGTGTGTGTCTAACATTCTAGCACCATTCATTCCTAGGGCTAAAGGTCTGCTTCAGATAAATGTATTTCAGTAAGAAGCAGCAAATAGCTACTTTTCTATAGCACTGTAGTTTTCCCATCATGAAGGGTAAAGACATTTTCGCTGTTCTCAAAAAACTTTGAAATGTAAACTTGTTCGATTGATGGCTCCTTCTGGTCCTGGCAGCCTTTTTGATAGCTGGTGCTCTTTCTGGAATACTTGTTAAAAGTGTCTCTGTAGCAAAGATGTTGTGTTTTTTGTTGGTGTCTTTTTTTTTTTTTTCATGTAATTTTTTTTTTAAGTCATTGCCTGGAAGAGCAGAAATAGGCTCTTGTCTTCGATAGAGCAGTCTGACAGGTGAGCACCTACTCTTACTGCCCTTTTACTCGATAATAACTTATGAGTTTAGACTGCTTGAGAGCAGTTTTTTTCATTTAAAATTTTCAATCCATTTTGAACACAACTCCTGCTCAGGAAAAGTGGCCATGGCATCACAGACAGTTCCAGAGGCTGTGAGTGTGTCAGGGCTGGAGGCAGTTACATGCATCACTGTCATGCACTTTTTAAGACCAGTGCATTCTACAGCTATTAATGCATGGAGATTGATCCAAATTTGCAATGGAATGTGACCCCAACCTGAAAGATAGTATCCCATGTTCTCTCCTCCACCACTGCCTATATCAGCCCAAATTCTGACCTTTACCACACAGGAAAAGGGCAAACACAGAAGCTCCTGTTCTGGTTTGATAGGTACTTGTGTTTGAGGCAGCCAGGCTTTCAGAATACGGTGCTTACATACCTTGTCAAGCTCACACAGCTCTTAGATTTGGAAACATTTTGCTTTGCACATGTAAATAGTTTCCTGGAGATTGTCACATATGCTTGTTTCTCATCTCTCATGCTATCTCCTCTGACCCTGCTAGCTCCATCAATGAAGTATAATCCTAAAAGAAATCTTCCTGGTTGAAATAACAAACAGTGTCGAGGGGGTTTTCTGGAGTAATACCTTGATGCTAACCACCACACACAAGTACAGAGAGGATTGAACTTGCTCAGATTTTTCCATTCCACTTTTTATTTTGTTGTACTCAGTGTTGCAGTTAAGTAGCTATCATCATTATTAAAGATTATCTGCTGCAAAATAGCAGGGATTGTTTACCACAACAAACCCAAAAATCTGCGTGTTCCTCCCAGCATGTCTCATGGATGAAATCTTGTCCTTCATTCTCCCTGCACTAATCTCACTAGATCCCTTTTTTATTTCTTTGAAAGGAGTTGCTCAAACTCAGATTGTAGACAGTGAATAATTCAGCCCGCTGGC